ACTTTGTGCTACTTTATACAACACTGAATAGAATAGAATAGAATAGAATAGAGTGTTTGTGAAGTTTGACTCTTCATACCTGTCCCTGACTTCTGACCGCCGTCACAATCTTTCAATAACTTTTACAAAACGAGCATATCATAAAAATCAAAGCATTTTTGTTCGCTTTATTTCAGACAGCATAATAACTATGAAAGTGTATACATATTTACATCCTGGTTATTTCTTTACATTTAAATTTGACATTTTATCAGATAAATGGGGGAATAATTACATAATTCTCGTTCTGTACAGCTGCTCCTGATTACTTGTCATTTTCAGATAAGAGCCTAGAACCGAGCACTCCGACACCTTCTCCATGTTCCCCACCACATCCATGACCCCCTCCACCCCTTCTGAGCACAGCACTGAGGACGCGTTCAGGCTGAACTTCTCCTCCAGGTCCCTCTGGCTCAGTGGCTTCCTCCAGTGGCCATAAAATGTATCACACCTGGCTGCAGCACTCAGCCCCTGAGCTGTGCTGATCTCCACCTCACAGTACATCTTGTCAAAGCTGGGAGCGTTGTCCTCAGGGGTCTCCACCTGCACCTTCGATAGGAGGTCCTTCAGGGCGGGCCGGTTGATTTGAGCCCGGCTGAAGGAAGCGACTGTCACTTTGTTGTCCAGCAGAGCTGAGCAGGCGTTGAACTGAAACGAGTGCCTGGCTTGGTGCTCAGATTCAGGCAGGGGGCAGTTGATGTACTTGGACGGAGGAACCCGCAGTGTGATGCGTTCAATCTGACTCAGGTCAAAGTTCCCAACTGCGTCTTGAAGCTTTGTACGAGCTTCCAGAGCTGCATCCACAACCCAATGCATAGCCAAGTGAGCAGGGATGCGCTTGAACGCCACATCCTGATCTTCAAGAATCCACCTAAAAGCACCAGAACCTGCCATGGGCGAAGGGTTGTAGTCTTTGTAGTACACCCCCAACCCGCTGTCCATGTCCAGTATGGCTGGGTTCCCCTCCAGGCCAATTAGTGCCAGCTGAGCTGCCTCTAAGCCTCTTCGAGCAGCGTTCCCGATGTGGAGAGGTTTGGTTTGGGTGGCGGCATTGGCCAGAGGAGCCCCGGCAGAGGAGGCTGCAATGGCCAGGGCGTGRCTGCACTGAGCAGGAGACAAAGCCAGGAGCTTTGCTGAGGCTGCGGCGCTCCCCATCACTCCAAMCACACTGGGAGGGTGAAACCTGTTAAAGATCAACACGTTAGAAATGGGGTTATATTTTTTTTAAAAGCAGCTTTTATTGCTTGTAGCATCTCAAGTTATCCTTTATAAACTGGAAATATCTTTATCTCACCATAGGCTTTTTTAAAATAAATTAATGACTCTTTTACAGTGATGATTCAAACATATTGGAGCATTGAAAGCTTATGAATCACAAGTTTCTTACCAGATGAAGATAGCTTTTCAAAAAACCTCAGTTTTAATAATAGTTAATTTGGACCAGATTGATGAACCAACAGCTGATCTGAGATTGCTGTTGCCTTAACTTCCATCACCCAAATGTTATATTCTAAACCTTTTCTCTGCCATAAGTTTTATATTGTGCAGATATTTCACAGGAAGTGCTACAGATGCAGCTATTTTCCTTAGCAAACAAACCAACCCATTCTCACTCCCAACTCGTCACATATTGACGTTTAAGGTAAGGTTCCCTCTGCGTCTTATTTGGACGCAGAAGGTACCCCCCTCGCGTCACTCCTTGACGCCCACGGCTTTTCCGGGTTGCGCCACCAGGGGGCTTTGGCTGGCTCTAAAAATACATTTTAGAGAGGCTGAAGGTGTTAGAAGTTCAGAGCTTCATCAGTCGGTGGAAAACTGTGAATCTGCCAACATCAAACAAACTCAAATGCAGAGAAGAAGGAGGAAGTCATGATGATGAGGATGAATATGTTTCTGTTACATTTGGTGTAAAACTTCTTGTTTCCTGTTGAGTTTTTCCACAGTTTGAAGCATTAAAATAACAAAATAACTCAAATA